GGGACCAGCCAGAGCACGGCAAAGGAGCCGTTCCAGGCCGAGTGGTCAGCGCCAGGCATTGCCTGAAAGGGAGCAGGGGCAAGAGGCCGCACTGGGAGGGCGGTGACACAGACATAGAAGGCCCAAGGTAGAGAAAGGCTGTGCGAAGACATACACTGACGATATACACTGAGTCTTCATACACTTTGGTATTTGGGAAACACTTCCCAGGAGAGTCTGTTGTTGAGATTCCTTCCCCAAACCCTCCAGTATCTAAGAACCTATGGCTTAAAAGCAAACTGAAGGGTCAGATGGGAAATAAGCAGGAACCTGAAGAAAAAGAAAAGTCTAGAAGTGCAGAATGGGTGCACTGGGAGAGCCTGGCTGGGCGAGTCCAATCACAGAGTCATTCAGAGGAGGCGATTGCTTGGCCAAGGGCCTGGGCAGTGGGCGGCTGCACCAACATGGTGCCCACAGCTGCTTTGCCCATGAGAGGCATGGTTTTCTTGACTTGAGTCAGAACCCAGGTCTCCTGACTCCCAGTCCGAGGCTCTTGCTCCCGTATCACACCCATAGCTTACTCTGCTCTGTCTAGCTCAATTCAGTTGTCTTCTGTGGGATCCTGTGTGTGCATGGAACTTTAGCAAGCTTCCAGCCAGGAGACACGTTGGACCTGAAGTCAAGAAAAGAAGATGCCTGTTCTGTCCCCTGGTTCACTGCATAGTGCTTGTGACCTCAAAAGCTTCCAAGTGTCCATCCAAGCCACAATACTGGTCTCTGTTTGCCTGAAGCAACAGAGAAAGAAGGAGTCAGGAATAGGAGGCTATGGAAAGTGTGGCTAATTGCCTCCATGAAGAACTGCCTCCTCTGCCACGAGACCAGAAGAACTGGATGGTGCTCAGTTACCACTGCTAAATATTTTGATCAAAGATTCTAGAAAAGAGTCTTCATCAGAAGGGGGAAAATGTAAAACAGAATTTCAAATTCTCATGGATTCTGGACGTTCTATTGCCCTGAGATAATTTTTAAACCTTAAACCAAATATATCTCCTAAAGTCTAGTAGAAACCAACAATAATTTAGCTTAATTAGTAAAAAATGTCTGCTTTGAACATTAATGCTCATTTGCCTAGTGGAACCCCTGAGACAATGGTCCGTAGTTGCCCTTCAGGTCTGGAATTGAACCCACTCCTGTGGCTTCCAG